TGTGGGTGTAGCGGTAGGACATGCGTGATCGAGTAGCCACTCCCGCCGTGGTGTGGGATGTAGCGTATAGCTGATGGATTCTTACTGCCACTTCCGTCGTGTGATGGGCTGAAGCGGTACGGCATGAACCACGGCGCCACTCCCCGCCCCCTCGTGTGGTGGTGAGCCGGTAGCAGCTGGACCACCGCCACTCGCCTCCGTGTGTGAGTGTAGCGGTAGGCATGGATCCAGTGCCACTCCGCCCCGTGTGTGGGTGGTGGGTAGGCCCATGATCCACCGCCACTCCCCCGTGTGTGGGTGTAAGCCTGGTAAGGCATGGATCACTGCCACTCCCCCCGTGTGTGGTGTGTGTAGCGTAGGCATGGAATCCACCGCCGCTCCCCGTGTGTGTGTAGCGGTAGGCATGGATCTACTGCACTCCCCCCGTGTTTGGGCGTTAGCGGTAGGCTTTGGATTCACCGCCGCTCCCAGGTTGTGGTGGTAAGCGGTATGCCATGGCTCAGAAAAACTGGCCACTCCCCCCGTGTGTGGTGTAGCGTTTTATGCATGATCTACTGCACACTCCCCCGTTCGGTGGGTGCAGCCGCGTACGGCATGGATCCACGCCACTCGCCGCCCCCTCGTGTGTGGGTGTAGCGGCAGGCATGGATTCCATCGCCACTCCCCCGCGTTGTGTGGTGTAGCAGTAGGCGATGGATCCACCGCCACTCCTCCCGTGTTGTGGCGTGTAGCGATAGGCAGGACTCCACCGCCCGCTCCCCGTTGTGTGGGCTGTAGCGTAGGCATGGAATCCTACGCTCGCACTCCCCCCGCTGTGTGGTGTAGCGGTAGGCCATGGATCTCACCGCGCTCCCCGTGTTGGTCTGTAGCGGTAGGCATGGAGATTCACCGCACTACCCCCGTGTGGGCTGTAGCGGTAGGCATGTATCCACCGCCACTCCCCCGTGTGTGGGTGTAGCGGTAGCATGGAATCTACTGCCACTCCCCCCCGTGTGGGTAGCGGCTCCTGGGCTCATGATCTACGGCCACTCGCCCCGTGTGTGGCTTGTAGCGGTAGGCATGGACTCCCACCGCCACTCCGGCCCGCTGCGTGGGTGTAGCGGGCTCAAGAATCCACCGCCGCTCCCCCCGTGTGTGGGTGTAGCGGTAGGCATGGATCCAGGGCCACTCCCCCCGTGTGTGGGTGTAGCGGTAGGCAAGAATCCACCGCCGCTCCCCCCGTGTGTGGGTGTAGCGGTAGGCATGGATCCAGCGCCACTCCCCCCGTGTGTGGGTGTAGCGGTAGGCATGGATCTACTGCCACTCCCCCCGTGTGTGGGTGTAGCGGTAGGCATGGATCCACCGCCACTCCCCCCGTGTGTGGGTGTAGCGGTAGGCATGGATCCAGTGCCACTCCCCCCGTGTGTGGGCGTAGCGGTAGGCATGGATAGTCTCTGTACGGGATGCTGATCCATCGCCGCTACCTTTGTGCGTGGGTTAGACGAGCTTATCTCTCGATAGAATTCAGTATGGGTAAACCTCGCGACGGAAACACCTGCGCATGCGCTGCTGCTAGAGCCTCGCTTTGCGACCTGCGCATATGAGAATCCACGCTAATCCATAACCGGGGTGCTCTCGTTGCCCCGCCTGACTGACTGATCCGAGTGTTTTACATTCTAGGGTGGCTGGTGCCTCTGGTAGATGTGATTGCACGCAATGTGACGTCGGTGGCGGTACCTGTGATCGAGGTTATCAATGTCGACTCGCTCGAATATAATCATGGCACGCAACCAGAAGCCGTTCAAGTGGGCGGCTTCAGCTGGGGGCTTGTCTTTAACTGGCACTCGTCGCCGAAAAGCGAGAAGGCGTGGAGAACTGCACACAGTCTCCAACCGTTGGATCCCGTGAGGTATATATCACACGACGGCGGTCGCGACGCCTTAGGGATTAGCATTGTATCTATACGGGGAACGATGGGGTTCGCATTTCAGGCTGGCTGGTGCCGATGGTCGACCCCATCGCGCGGGACCCGACCGTGGTCGTTGTGCCGGTTATAACCGTTATTAACACGGCAACGTTGGCCATCGTCCCCACCCACGTCGGCGACGTGCAAGTCGGTGGATTCTCCTGGGGTCTAATCTTTAACTGGCACTACCCGCCGCCGACCGAGCTACAATATCGCCTCCGACACAACCTTACCGCCGTCACCGACGTGTACAGGTATTTCGGTGGTGACGTTGCTCGCAAAATTGCAACTCGCAAACTTTGGGTGTTTGTTGTTTGGATCGTGCCCGGATGTCCCCTTGCCCGTGTGTGGGCGTGTGGCGGACGAGGAGGTGGAGGCGAATGAGTGAGAACGTGAATCGTGGAGTGTGCAGTCACGCTTGAATGTACCGAGAGTTGTTGTGAGCACATCGTGCGGCGAACCGACCAGCGGCGACTACAGATAATGAGCTAGTGTACACGTAGAGTGACAGCTGTTGCAATGTTTGATAGCATACCACTAGTATGTCAATGACAGAGCTCGCGTTCAGCCTTGAAGTGTATCCGTGCACAGATATGCGCTCGTGGTGTGAATGAGCTGTACATTATGGCATGTTGTTTGTGTCATAATTCGATTTTTGTTTTATGGTTGATTTTATCGCATATAACATTCGATTTATCACATATAACATTCAGCATTTATCACACTATATCATGATTTATCAAATATAACATATCCGATATTATCACATATAACGATTCGATTTATCAGCAATATTATTTGATTTTATTATCAGAAAAAGAGATCGAATGATTCGATCGCTGACTCGAATTGATTCGATGCGCTGAATCGAATTGATTCGAGCGTGAACTCGAATGAGCAATCGACATGATTCGATTGCACGCAATCGAATTGATTTCGTACTTCACGCATCGCAATGATGCATCGAATCATTTCGATGCGTGAATCGAATTCATATCGATGCGTGAATCCAATGATTCCATGCGGTGAATCGAATGAGCATCGAGATCATTCGATTCACGCACATCGAATCATTCGATTCCGCCATCGCAATTGATGCATCGAATGATTCGATGCGTTGAATCGCAATTGATTCGATGCCGCCGTGAATCATGCAATTCGATGCGTGAATCGAATCATTCAATGCGTGATCGAATTGATGCGATCGAATCATTCGATTCACGCATCGATGATTTGATTCACGCATCGAATGATGCATCGAATCATTCGATCTCACGCCATCGAATAGATTCGCATCCTGCAAATTCATTACCTTTGCCACGCTTTCGTAATCTAGCGCCATCTATCAACAAACTTTATACAATACAGTCTACTCTCCTCCACATATCTCCCACTCTCCCTCTACCTCCTCCGTCTTCTCGCCGCCATCCTCTACAATCTCATCCCTACTCAAAATACTAAGAATAGATATGGTAACATTATTATTTTTTGATATAGTTTGTGTATTGTATAAGTTGTTGATAGATGGCGCTAGATTCGGAAACGTCGGCAAGGTATAAATTTCAGGCATCGCAGATCATTCGCATGCTTGAATCGAATGATTCGATGCATCATTCGATGCGTGAATCGAATGATTCGATGCAGTGAATCGAATGATTTCGAATGCATCATTCGAATTCACGCATCGAATCAATTCGATTCACGCATCGAATCATTTGATTCCGCATCGAATCATTCGATTCACGCATCGAATGATTCGAGTGCATCATTCGATGAGCGAATCGAATGATTCGATGCGTGAATCGAATGATTCGATGCCATCATTCGATTCAACGCATTCGATCATTCGATTCATGCATCGAATGATGCATCGAATCATTCGATTCACGCATCGAATGATGCATCGAATCATTCGATTCACGCATCGAATGAATTTGAATAGAATTATGAAACAGAATACACACCATAGTACATGAGCAGTGGAAGATACATGCGATATTTAGTTAACGGACGAGTAAATTTACACATGATCGATCTAGTTTTGTGATTGGAGTATTTAGAGTATGAAAATGCGTAAAAGAGTTTCCTGAGATATGGAAGAAAAAATGTTAGAAAATTGCATCACATTATTAAACTGGTAGTCGAACTTACGTGTGGAAGATTAACTGGGAACTCGCTGTGATCATTGAGAAATGCAGGGCGCCATAGGCTGAGCAAATTTCTAGGGGGGGGGGCAAAATTTCACGACTCAACTGTGTAATGATGAGCGCAGCTCTTGATCGACGTTCATAGTGTGGTAGGAGTGGGTCTGAGACAAGGCTTTCACGGATAAGTGACCAAGCAAATCACGTTCGGTTTATTTACGATTATTAACTAAGCTTATTTTTGAATTTTGCTCCAAAATCTAGGGGGGCAGCTGCCTCCCTTGCCCCCTACAGGCTACGACCCTGAAATGCTAATCCTAATTAAATCATACGTATCGATGCCGAAGCAAGAAGATGTAGGAATTTCCAAGATGTAATGTAGAAAATGTCAGAGTAATTATCAGCTCGCTGGTGAGGGAACGTGTTTCGCATTGACAATGTCAGTAACTGCACGCCATCTTAGCATGTCGATTTCGTGACAACTCTCTTGACAACTGCTCTCCCCGTGACCTCTGCTTCCGTCGTGATCTTTGCTCCCATTGTGACCTTTGGTCTCCTCGTGACCTCTGCTCCCGTCGTTACCTTTGCTCCCATTGTGATTTTTGGTCTCCTTGTGACCTCTGCTCTCGTCGTGACCTTTGCTTCCATTGTGACCTTTGGTCTCCTTGTGACCTCTGCTCCTGTCGTGCCCTCTGCCTCCTTGTGACCTCTGTTCTCCTCGTGACCTTTGTTTTCTTCGTGACCTCTGCCTTCTTGTGACCTCTGTTCTCCTGATGACCTTTGTTCTCCTCGTGACCTCTGCCCTTCTCGTGACCTCTATTATCTTCGTGACCTCAGCCTCCTTGTGACCTCTGCCCTCCTTGTGACCTTTGCTTTGCTCGTGATCTCTGCCCTCATTGTGATCTTTTCTTTGCTCGTGACCTCTGCCCTGCTCGTGACCTTTGCTTTCCTCGTGACCTCTGTCCTCCTCGTGACCTTTACTTTCCTCGTGACGTCTGCCCTCCTCGTGACCTCTGCCTTCGCATCGTGTGGGTTGCATCCGAGACTAGCATGACATTCGTTCGCAGCAATTAGTTCTCTCGGCGCATGCGCACGTGGGGAATGATATCCTGGATTGTTGCCCCCCGAGCATGGCTTGCTGCTGTAGCATGGTAGACTTCCCCTTCCTATGACAACCTTCCCCCTCTACGGTGCGCATTGGCGATAAAGGTAAAATCTCCATGACCATGCGCAATGCGCAATGCAAGACATGCACATGCCTGAGGGGGAATTTCCCATAGGGGGGATGTATACCATATTGCGTACGCAACTTCGGCGAACCTCCCAAAATCGGCTGCTATTCGCTGGTGTCAGCGACACGCCACGTATTATGCACATACGAGTTTTACGCAAGAATTCGTCTGCGATCTTTAACTCGCTTGCGATTTCCCGATAAGGCTGCCTGCTGTCCTCCCTCCCTTGTCGCTTTAAATCTGAAGTAGAGAGCCCGGCAAGTGTCCGTATGTAATATAACTCGACTGAGTTTCCCTGTCTACGTCAGTTACGGTGTTGTATTGCTCTCGGGCGGGAAATGGGATGGTGGAGTTGAGAGCGCATGATGTCGGAGCAAAACTCGTGTGTGTATATTACCTAGCGTTGTTATTCGTATATTGTTCTCTGCGCGCGACACCTGTGATATGATCACGTTTCAATTCGCAGTGATTTGTCGATTAAATTGGTCGAATTACATTCGAATCCTAATGTGTATTATTGCCTTTCATAGACAGCAAAAACATCCGATGCATCTGCTTATAGCCGTTTAATTCCCCATTCACTCACGTGTTCGAGTATATTAGTTGGTATCGTCACGATTTCACGCACCTGCGGAACTACCGGTTTGTTCTGCTTGAACAAATAAACGCTGCTTCAAATAGTCGGCGTTCGCGTCATTCGATAACACGCGGTACGTGTTTATTTCAATAAATAGGTCACCGACAATGGCTGGCGGTCTCTTTGCCATTGACAAGGAGTGGTTTGAGAAACTTGGCACTTATGATCCGGAATTCGACGTCTGGGGAGGTGAAAACTTGGAGATATCGTTCAAGGTACGTATAGCGCAGCTCTATTGGCATCGTTTCCGCAAGAATGGTATCAGATATACAGTCAAGACAGACCTGATTAACGCTCAAGGGGTCGTTGTTGTATCAGGTACAACCCGAGGTACATATATGTATACACAAAGTGTACCGGACTTGTACTACAGAAGTGTACCCTAACCTTAACCCTAACCCTAGCCCTAGCCCTAACCCTAACCCTAACTATAACCCTAACCCTAAACATACCTTATATAAAAATATAAGCATAATACTAAACAACCTAAAACTACCTCGGGTACATATCTGTAGTACCTGATACGATAACGATCCCATCTGCCTGATTAACTAGGGCCACACTAGCTATAGTACTAGAGCTAGGGCCACACATACCGAGTGCACAGCGATCGGTTATGACTGTGAGTGCGCCCGCTGCGCCGTTAGTACGCGTGCATGCAATCCAACCCTCCCGTGAGACGCAATAAAAACAACTGTTCCGAGAATGCACCGCCCTCTTCCAAATTTTGCAAATCGGAGTATGGTGTACGGTTTGTCAATTTAGTCAAACCATATGTCGGTTTACAAACACACACCATATTTCCGCCAACCATACACATTGTAACGCCACCAACACGTTATTTATAAAAACCTTATCTTCCTTTACAGAAACACGTGTACATATTTCCTACCAACAGGTGCGTGCGCCGCCGAACCACAATTCCCCCACACTAGTTTGCTAAACCATACTAGTAGTATTTACGCATACTACCAAACCAGCCGTTAACCCCCCCCCCCACCACCACCACCACCATGAGCTATTAAGCTATGGGTGTAATGTTTCAGACTATCTCATAGATCCTTCGTACTCGTATGTGTTACCCGTGATGGTATGCTCGTGGCTACGTATATTATTAGAGGTATCGCTGTATGCCGTGGTGACAAACTACTGAACGCCGCAGGTACGTGGTTAGATTACAACATCTTTACTGGCCCCGAACGGCTCACACACATAACAGAGGTTCATGTAACTGAACCGCACGTATACAGAAAGGTACGCGACATACAAAACATAACTTACAGATATAACGTTGAGCTCGATGCAAGCACGAATAACTGTATACACACGTTCGTCGTCGGATATATGCAAAATACGGAGAGAGTTCTTCTTATTTCCTAAACAGCGTTTCTTATAGTGACGCGCTTTCTATTGTCTTAGCTCCAATCTTTCCTATTGGTTGAGGCCCCGCCGGTCAAGCATGCCAACAATCCGAGCGCTGCTATTGGCCAGTTACGCGCTATTAATCTCTGTTTACGCGTGTCCGTTGGCCACGCGTTTCTATTGGCCGCTGGCGTGGGTCGCGGTCACGCCCCTTTTATGACCCACCCAATTACGTGCCGCGGGTCAAGTCTACTACGTGCGCGTTTCTAGGACAAAGAGCCTGTCCTACCTCTCTGCCCCTCGCATTCCGCATGACCTCATTCTAATTATTATTCCATTCCCATTATTTATTATTATTACTCTTATTTCTGCCTTATCTTACTCCTTTACTATTAATTCTGTATTACATGGGCCGTAGGAAAGTGTACTAACTCTAATATCTCGCGAACGAATTGAGTTACATTTCTAAAATTCTAGATACATATAAACACATGTTTTAGCGATGGTATCCGTGAATTTTATTGAAGCACGAATAATTTAATTAATCACCACAAATATACGTGTGGTATCGCTCATAGGCTAATATACGCACGGCTATGGACGGTAGAAAATTGTATCTATATATATAAAGTTGTTCAGCAGAATTAGTTCGTACTCGCATAACTAGAGAACTCCGCAGCCTAGAGGAACACTAAAGATATTTTCAGAATCAGCACGTCTGGGAGAAATCCATTGACTGAAGGGGTCCCCGTGTGCATAAGATGTCCCCTAAATTTTTCTTTATATCTTTTAACTATACCATTGGACATATCAAAAAAGTCTGGGTAGACTTTTGCTACCACGGCAGTAACCGAGAAAATGACGTCATAAGCCACGCCCATTTTCCGCTCAGCTGGTTGTATGTTTCAGGGGTAGGGGAAACATAAATTGGTATATATAAATCACAGAACAACAAAATATACCTTAAAATGTTTGTATTTAAGTCATCAATAATACACACATAGATTATGCAAATTAATATGCAAATGATGTCACCAGAGGTCAAAAGGTCAAAAGAAACTTGTACAAGTAAAAATATTTCATTTTGACGATCACATGCTCCAAAAGAATCATATAAAGTGTCATGTTTTGGTTTACCCAGCATGGATACTTATAAAATATGCTTCTGATTATTTCGTGTTTGACCAATAACCTTTTTAGGCCCATTTGTGTTACATAACTCAAAGAAAAAGAACATCAAAACACTTAAATGCCTGAGGTTCAATTCCTAAATCATCGGCAGGAATGGCATTTATGTCTGATATCGAGCAAACGTAGACAAGTGCATGGTTTAGCTCAACAATTTAGCCCACCTTTTCACGGGACTAGTTTAATGTACCAGATGGATTTCGACATTGCTCAGCTTCTTCAACAGACTAGACACTATGGCATGCGCAAAAACTAATGCAGGGCAGTCCCTTTTTGCGACATGCACATCTGACGCTGCCGCATTTTTTGCAGTTGCAAATAACTGTGTATTCCTCAGGAATTGATCTCACAGCTTTAACAGGCACTAGAATTTCATCTGCTTCCTTAAAGCCAAAGACAGTAGGGTCTAGTTTCCTTAATTTATGAGGCGGCAACAAAGTCATCATGTGGTAGGTTGAGTAATATGCCCTCAGGATGTGCTGCTGTATTGCATGGCTAGTTGGGGGAAGTTGCTCCAACGATATACCTTTACTGTGATGGTACATGTAGTCTCTAAGTCTATCCATTGTCCTGCAATTGGTGTTCTTTTTGATGACTTGTACAAGGTACTCCTCACAGGATGTCATAATGGTCTCACTACAGCTTATTCCATAATAAAAATCATTCAAGAACTCGGTAGGATTAACATTATTGAAGGCCGCATGCTTTGTTTCCACCTTGCTTGTATAGTCGCAACCAGTTAACGTATGGAGAAGTGGCAGCACATAGCACAACTCTACCCCGACTCTTGATGCTAAGGTGTGAACTGGGATGTATCTTGTCGAATCCCCAACACCAGCTCTGAGCCAGATTTCACTTAGGCCAATGTAGTGAAGAACATTCCAGTAGTGCATGAGAAGTATGAAGACATCGGTGTCACTCGAAAGGACAACAATTCGTCTTTCTCCGTTTTTACTGCATGCATTGCATGGGGGATTATACGAGCATCAGCCTCTTCAATATCTTGACAATGTTCTGGTATTTCTGCTGAACAACCCTCCTGGACTGACTGGCAGACAACAACGTCTGAGTCCCCAGAAAAGCCACTGGCTACAACTTGGAGTTTGGAAGGTTGCTCCATCCTGCGCTTTATTGTGTGCTCATGAAGAAGCATCTGGAGCTTCAACTTATTTTCGCGTGATGCCCAAAATCTGTCCATCTCAACAGGCAGTGGTGTGTCGCAGTTGATGATATTCATCTCAATGGGCGCTTTTACTTGACGCCACTTTCTCTCTGAATCCTTGATGGATCCTTCAACATAGGAATCAAAGATCAAGTCTGATCTGTCAGCCCCTCGACCGATTGCAGCGACGTAGTCCAGAAAATGTTCACAGAAGTTTCCTAATGTCCGTAGGTCTTTTGTTTTTAGCTTTCTAATGTTGGCCATCACATCAACTAAACATGCTGTCTGCATTTTAGAGTCCTTTGCCGGCTCTCTCCCATCATCCTTTGTAAGTTTGGCTTCTTGTTCCTTCATCAGCCCTTCTTGATCAAACAAATAGGACAAAGGGGACACATCATATTGCAACAGCTCTTCCATTGTTCGTCCACGGGCATGCGCTATCTCAATCAATCTTCATATGGGAGTCTTCCTTTTTTCCTGAGGATTTTCCTTTGACTTCTTTTTTTGGCCTATGGATGCTGAGAAACGTCTTCAGGTTGGTTCTATGGATGGTTGAGGAGAATCTCATTGACTTGTCAATAAATCGCTCCTTTCTAAGTGTGTCATAGGCTTTGGTTCCGATTTCTTTGACCGAAAGTAGCTGGCTTCTGATATCTTCAGACATGACTTTTTGGGTCAAAATGTTATGAAGTTTCACTTGGTCAGGAGTCAACTGGAACGGATTCTCATTCTTCTGTATTGTTGTAAGTATGTCAGTAACCTTTTGTTCCCCCGTTGCTATCTTAGCTTTGCTGATAGCACTTTCCTCCGACAGGTTTTTGTTCACTCCATACAAGTCCCTGTGCAAATTGTCGATGGCCAGCATTTCATGGTAGATCAGCTCCCACACTGCTACGAACTTCTTCTTCCGGGTGTTGCCAATTATACCAGAGGCACTCTTCTGGGACCTATTTATGGTTTGTTCCAAGGCCATATCAGCCCCAACTGCATTTAACCTTTCAGGGATTCGCTTCACCACAAATTTGCCTGCCTTAAATTCTTCAAAGACGAATGGTGCGGTTTCAGGTAGCTTGCGCATGTCCTCTAAATACAGCGAACACCATTTCAGGTAGTTGGTAGAATCAAAAGCTGCCATGACAGGAAGAAGGGCCTGAACTGCCTGGAGATGAAGATCCCAATCCCCCTCACGATCACTTCGAATCAGGTTCTCAACCAGCTGCATCAGTGAGACGAATGTGTCCCAGTATGCAAACGTCTCATTTTGTTTCCTAGCATTGTCAATGAAATCATCAAAATCGCTGATGAGGTGAGCACTGCTGTCTCGAAATTGTTGATAGCACCTCAAACTCTGTTCTCTTGTAGAACCAATCGTCCCCTTCAATTCAGCTAGCAATGCTAGTTTGTCTTTGTGTGTTGTCGCATTCTCCTCCTTGCCGAAAAACTCGGACCACTGCAATCTGACCAGTGCTTCCTTAAGAAGTTGCAATCCTTTCAGTGATCTCG